ATGCAAATTGAATTAATGCGGTGCTCTAGTGCGTAACATAATACGAATTCAATCCGATTGATTTAACCTGCTCTCTGAAATTAACATCCGGTCAGCTATTAAATTACGCTGATGCATTAGCTGTTGTTGGAGTAACAGTAGGAATTTAAAGGAACACATGATTTTAAGCAAATCCGACTGCAGGTTATTAATTGATTTGAATGCATGTTATGAAGCGCCGTTTGGGCCAAAATAGAATTGTATGTAATATATATATTTTTCTGAAAAATGCGTGATATATAAAAAAATTTACTCTCGATATATAAAATATTCAGCGCCGTTTATGTAATATATAAAACAATTTGCCCTTGCTATATGAAATATTCAGCGCCGTTGTGATATATAACATAATCTTAAAAAATGCGTGATATATAAAATTTTTTCACTCGATATATAGAATGTTTTCTCTCGATATATAAAATTCAGCTTACAAGAAACGTCGTGTTATAATGAGGGCGCTTCAATGATAGTTCATTGGCGTACTTGCATTTTTTGTGTTTTCACAATTTTATTGTTTATAATACTGTTTAGTTTTGGTGTTTCTTTTGTATTTATAGTTTTAAACCCGTTTTTATTCTTATTTCAATAAGTTGTTGAGAAAAAAACAGTTCTTATAAGAATTCAACTAACATAACCTAAAATTCAGGCAGTGTTAAATTTGCAATCGAAGGAAATGGTTGCTTCATAAATACACTATTTTACGGCCATAAAGACCAATGGGGGCCCCCTAATTTCTTTGGAAGGATTTACAGAGGTAATTTGTAATATTAATGTAAATTTTGTGATCACCTTTGAATGTTTTAGCATGTTGCTGCTGCTGCTGCTTTGAACTTTAGCATGAGTATGGTTCAATGAATAAAAAAAGGGCTTGATAGAAAGGAATCACTTGGATTGTTTTAACAACAAACAATTAATCTATAAATAATTCTTAAACATTTACTTACCTACATAATATGCATATTAATATAATAATATAATATTAATATAATAATATACTTAATATTAATATAATAATATAATATTAATATAATAATATAATAATTATTATACATGTGTCTGAAAGTGTATAAAAGGGTGATAAATAAAACAAGTGTCTTTTTTATTTTAATTTTATATTTCTCTTGTAAACAAATTTATACCTATTTTATAAGTTTTAGACTTCGTAGAGGTAAGTTTTATGCAAGCCAACAATCTGAAGGATTTGTATTATTTAAAAAGCAAATGTACATACAAATTGTAATAAAACTAGAAAAATACCTAGTGATAATTTGTTGGGTAAGCCCAAAAACGAATGCTTTTATTGGAAACAGTCTTCCTTCAAACACACAATAGACTTTTAAGGTGTAATATCAAGAAGTTGTTTGTTTTTACACAACCCAACCCATTTATTAAACAAGTTAATATTTTTTTAATGATTTGTAAATTAGTGTTAAGATTCACAACAACTTTCACTGCAGAATACCATTATTATTAAATAAATTTTGTGCTTAGGTATAAGTTATACCTATATAGTATACCTATATAGTATAGGTATATAGTATATACCCTTAAACAAGTGGTGGAGATTGCTGAAATGGACAATATTGAATTTAAAATTAAATGTATGTACACAGCCCAGACGTGGGCAAATCTCAATAAGATTTCTTAAATACTAACTTTTGGTTTACATGTTGTAAAAAATATTTCTGTTTAAATACTGTGTAAATCTGTGTCTAAATAAGAAGTTTTCTGCGACAAGAGTTGCCTTGATATATTATTTGTCTATGCCTCGATTGTCCTGGACTTACAAGTGATTCCTTTCTATCAAGCCCTTTTTTTATTCATTGAACCATACTCATGTTCAAAGCAACAGCAGCAGCAACATGCTAAAACATTCAAAGGTGATCACAAAATTTACATTAATATTACAAATTACCTCTGTAAATCCTTCCAAAGAAATTAGAGGGCCCCCATTGGTCTTTATGGCCGTAAAATAGTGTATTTATGAAGCAACCATTTCCTTCGATTGCAAATTTAACACTGCCTGAATTTTAGGTTATGTTAGTTGAATTCTTATAAGAACTGTTTTTTTTCTTAACAACTTATTGAAATAACAATAAAAACGGGTTTAAAACTCTAAATACAAAAGAAACACCAAAACTAAACAGTATTATAAACAATAAAATTGTGAAAACACAAAAAATGCAAGTACGCCAATGAACTATCATTGAAGCGCCCTCATTATAACACGACGTTTCTTGTAAGCTGAATTTTATATATCGAGAGAAAACATTCTATATATCACGCATTTTTTAAGATTATGTTATATATCACAAACGGCGCTGAATATTTCATATAGCAAGGGCAAATTGTTTTATATATTACATAAACGGCGCTGAATATTTTATATATCGAGAGTAAATTTTTTTATATATCACGCATTTTTCAGAAAAATATATATATTACATACAATTCTATTTTGGCCCAAACGGCGCTTCATAGCATGTAATCATATTTTCACTTTAAGATCTTGATAATATTAGTGTATCTTTGGCAAATAAAGAGGATATCCTTTAATATTATGATGACGATGATAAAAAGTAGCTCTAAATTACTTAGAAAACATAGACGTAATATAATCTTGGTCTAATCATGGACAATGATTTCTTCAAACTCGCTCCGTATAAGAAGATTACGTTCACCAAAGTTATTTAGTGCGGCTTAGTTGTTTTTAAGACGATTATCGCATGTTAAAAATGGTCATCAGCAATTAATTAATGCATTCATGCCAAACAGAAATATCGCTTTTGAGTAATAAAGGCATTTAGAAATTGACCTCTTTCAAAAAGAGAACGAACATATCGAATTGGGCATATGAAACTTTTTTGTTTTTAATTTTATATACTGTGATCGATTTATACTCCAAAATTGATTATACACCGATTTTCTATGCGGTCGGGTGCTTTTGTATTGTTTGGATATCAACACGTTCAAAAAACTATTCATTATGATCATTGACCCTATAATTTAACATATCGGAACATTCATTATGTATAAAATTACTAATTTATTTGTACAACATTATAACTAACAACTTAACCGTTACATTTATAACACTATAGTGAAATGTATCTCATTTTTTCTTCAACTATTGTAATTATATTTGGAATATTTTACGAAAACAACATTTGATAGATCCGATCCAAATGTAAGCATATTTCGACGCCATTTTACAGCGCCGCGACGCCGAATTGCGAGTGCGTCGAAGGTAGTTCATGATTGGAGGCGGTATTCCCATTGGTTGAAACTCGAACGAATAAAAGCATCGCTATGGAACTAAATGAAGCACGTTTTCGATTAAGTAATTCGATTAACAAAAAACTTTAACTAAACGAATTGAAATCGAAATCTTTAATTGTTTATTAAATAATAAAAAAATAATGAATTTAGTTTCATTGTACAAGAAAAAGCATTTCGAATCGCGATAAAAACTGGGTAAATGTTTAGAGAGCTTTTGTAAATCAAATGGATCGAGCAAATTGTTTACATTATTTGGAATTGTACAACAATTCAAGCATCTCGTTGCGGCTATTTGTAGTTTGATGGGTTTCTTATAACTTGAAAAATTTATTTTATCTTGTCAATTTAACCTATCTACTTTATTCTATTTAAACGAATGGAAAATCGGGTTCATTTCAAATACAACTGAATTAATTGACGTAAAATATTGTGAAAGGATATCGGTTTTGAGATTTTCGCCTATCGCTGGAATATAAATTTCACGTAAATCTGTCAATTATCAAGAGACTTGGTATGTCTATAGACATCTTCTGTTTTGTTTTATTACAATGGAAATCTAGTGAACTACGCGATAGATGTCGGAGAGACTTTGATTCAACCAACCTAAGAAAAGCTTCACTTGTATAGTTATAACTATGTCCACAAATCTAGGAAGTCGATTTTAACATTCCACCACCCAAACGATTGAGCTAAATTTGAACACACTTTTGGTGCTGGTGACAATTGTAATTTATTAAAAATGGCCGCCGCTCCAAGATGGCGGATTTCCTTTTTCTCAATTTAATATTATATAGAACTACTTTTTTGGACCCAAGATCATATTCAAATTTTGCGCTTGGACACATTTACATTCGGTTATTCAGTTATTCTTATAAACAAATAAAAAAAGAACAAGTTAAAATGTATACTATAGTCATTTAAAGAATAATTTCATTTAACATGTTTTTATTTTGTTAGAAAAAAATTGTCAATGCGTCTAAATGTTGCACCCAAGAGTCAAAATGTAACATTTGATCATACTATTATTTATTATTTTAATGTAGGTACTTCCAACAGGCACCTGGCCTAATTGTAGTAGTACACACTGACAAACACAAATAAACCTGGGAAACATTCTATATTATGGCATAGCTCAAAAATAAACTGGGCATGTCTCAAATTTTATTTTATAAATGGGACATGATTTTAAATACAACATAATAAATAAAGACAAAACAAACACATTTTTTTGCTGACGGTAACGCCGACACTCGTCTGAGCCACGGAGACGTTTAACTTATATTTGTTTTGTAAACTTTTGGTGAAATATACCTATGATTGATTCAAATAGTTTTATTTTACAATAAGATTAATATTAATTTTAGACACCTCTTTGTATTTTTCTGTTATCACTTTTTTAATTATTTATTTTAAGCAATTAGAATAATGTTAGCAAAAAGGTCAAAGGGCCACCTTCTAAAGAGCCAGTGAAATAGAAAATAACTCTTTTTTCAAACGATAATGCAATTTTGTGTATATATATATATATATTACAATAGAAATCTGACATGAGTACCTATCTATGGAGGCCGGAATGCTTTGATGTCGCCAAATTAAGGAAATCAATAATTTGTACCAATTAAAAAAATGGTAATTGCAGGTGTTCGGTAAATGGTTATTTTATAGTGGGAAAATGAGCTTACCTTGTTCGCACTCGTCGATATCTTCGGAACAGTCGATTCCCTTGTATCCAGAAGCGCAACTGCAAGTGTACGAGCCATTTATGGGACTCGTGTCGCAAATAGCATCGGCGTGACATGGATTGCTGGTGCAGGCGTCATCCAAATGGCAAAGAAGACCTGAAACATACGAAAACCGATTTCAGTACGAGGACGGTACAAATTGCATGATGCTGCAGCCGCTCTCGAGGACGACCGTTTGCTTATTTATGTTCTTTTTCCATTGTTCTATGGTAATTTCTTATTTGTACAATTGTTGTAGGACTCATGTAGCCTTGGTAAACACGGAAAAAAATCATCCATAAAGTTGATCGGTGTAGGTAAACTGAGAGATCTGTTTGCATGCATATAACATTACGTTTGACTAATTTAGCTATGCAAATCTTAAGCTGCAGTTAGTAAAGCCAGCTATAGCATACCAATTCATTAAAATAACATTGTATATCTTGTTTATGAATATTGAATTCGCCTTTTTGCCGGAGAGCATTTAAGATCTAATTGGGTTTGAGCAGTGATAGGTATTCGCTAATTAATACTTTTTTCATGCCATAACATGCTGATAATGAGCAACTGGTTGTACATTACGATTTCTGAATGCATCGCTTTTAATAGGCCAAAATACGGACGTCACTTTTAATTGCCCGCCTTTTAAATAGAGCAAGTGGAAAAGTGTAAGTAAACATGTGTTGTTTTGAGACTTTAATTAATGGTCTGCTGATGGCGATTTATCGTGCCAAAACCGTATGTAAGATCATATCGACTCGAACGGGTTCTTAAAATATTTAATAATTGTAATTATGAAGAAACTTGCTTGCTTTTTTCAGTCCCTTCTAATTAGCGATTTGCATAACCAGAAAGTTGCAAAAATATGCGTGTAATGTGCGAAAAGCAACATACATATATAGTCTGCAACAAAGATAAACACTTGTGCCACAAAACTTTTTTGCCCTAGAATATTTTATGTATAAGTTGGTTTTTTAATCTTTTGTTAGTTTAAACTGTTATGTTTACGGAGATTATAGAGGGATCAGATAAAATCAGATTAAAGAAATTAGTGTAAAGAATAAAATGTGTAAGAAACTGCTTAAGATCCCAAAATACTGTTATCCAGACCAGGTTTTCCCCTTATTATTAGGTAAGTAGGTAAATATGGACAGCTACTGATTAATTCAAACTGTGTGTAATTTTGCCAGCTAGTTTTCGACAGACAAATCGCTACTTGCTCTTGTCGAGTATTCCAAAAATAAGTAAAACAATCCGAAATTGCCGACGTTCCACATCGCCCTCGTTATATGGGCTAAAATTATCTCTTCTTCTGCCGGCCGGCCGTACCAACCTCTTCATACGTATGTAATTAAAATTGTTCGGGGTCATGAAAGTTCGCCGGTTTCGTTACACTTGGAGTGGTATCATTAAAGGCCGATTTAACGACTCTTTAATTATATAAATCCCAGGACTCGATTAATTGTGGCCTGTCATACCGAAATACGGATACCCGTAAAGCACGCCGACATTAGAAACAAAATTTCATCAACAAAATGTTCGTACAATAATTGAAATAAATTTGGGAATCTTAACCAGAAATAAATAGTTAAAAGCGTGATTAATAATAACACAACTGTTTACCATTAGGTGGAGATAAATCACTTTAGTGTTTATTTATAAATATTATTAAATTAGGTATCTGTCCATACTTCCTCATGACTGATTTTTGGGTTTTGCGGAGACATTTTATTAAATGAAAGATGGTTGGTTATGCTTTTAAATATATGGAATCCACTCTTAAATTTATGAGGAACGAAGGGAAGACGACAATCATTAAATCCAGCTAAAAAGACAGGTGGAGTAACTTGCTAGGTGAGGACACGTCAAAAAACGTACTATCCACACCCAAAGTTCCACCCTGATGTTTAAATAGAAATAATAGAATATTAAATAGAATAAAAGATCAAACAATAGATCCATGAGTTTATGGATAAATTAAAATGACAATATTTTTTAAATCTTTAACATCGTATAGTTTTAAAATACCTGCCTAGTAATCGCCTTTTAAATAAAAGTTTAACCATTAAACTAAAGCTTTGGAATATTTGGTAGTTTTCCCAAAATCGTAGATACGCGCGTTAGAAGAAAAATGTTCAAAGAAAGATATTAAATACAATCAATAAAGGTATAAATCAAATTATTGAAAATGAAACTTTAGGAAATTTTGGAATATTTGTACATTTTTAGAATTTTGAAAATTTCGGAAATTAAGAAAAAAATAAAAATTATAAACTCTAAGGTTTCCAAATTTTTGTAAAAGTTTGATTTTTTTTTAAATTATAAATAAAGACTAAAGTTGACATTAAATTAGGAAGCTGTCCATCCTTCCTCCCGTCTGATTTTTGGGTTTTGCGGAGACATTTTATTAGATTAAAGATGGTTGGTTATGCTCTTAAAAGATAAGGAATCCACTGTCAAATTTATGAGGAAGGAAGGAAAGACGACAATCATTAAATCCAGCTAAAGAGACAGGTGGAGTATCTTGCTAGGTGACGGCACGTCAAAAAACGTACTATGCTCCACACCCAAAAGTTCCACCTTGGGTGCCTATTCTTGAATTTAAGGGAGTAGAACTTGCGAGAGAAGTGGGCATGGTTTAAAAAATATATAAAATCCGGTATAAAATACCAAGGGAGGGAGCTACTCCCAAGAGAACTTAAGTTCTCCAACTAGAGGCTTCAATTATCTGATAGAACATTTGTGTAGCTATTCAGGGTGGATAAGGAGCTATTTCATGATATAATTGACAATGTCACCCCTTTCTTAGCCGAACCTACAAGAACCTCTGCCCTTCTCCACTGTTTCCAGTCATTACTGATGTTTAAATAGAAATAATAGAATATTAGATAAAACAATATATCAAAGGCTAGTGACTAAGGGAAATCTCTAACATTTTAAATAAAGAACGTTCTTTATTTAAAATGTTATTGTCCTTAGTCACTAGCCTTTGATATATTGAGTACTGATCTTTCAATTTCGATGGCTGCGCTCTATGAAGTACAAGTATTTCTCTAATGTCTACTTTACGCGTTTTTAATCTTTTCTGCGCACGCTATTTGGCGTAACTTATTATACCTTGTGGTCGGGAGTTACTTCTTCTTATTTTAGAAAGTAATGTCTTAAATATTCGGCACAAACTTAATAAAATCCAGAATTCTAATATGCATCTGTTGTCGGGTATTGAAATGTATAAAAATTACTTTGGATTTGTGTTATGTCCGCAAGATTAGAAAATTATGAATATATCCAACAAAGTTGCAAGGGATTTATCCTTTTTGCAGTATGCCGTGGCTAGCAGGCGGGCTTTGCGTTGTTTAATGTTTTTACGTTTTTCCATTAAGAACGCGAAGGGTATTTGGTTATTATGTTGTTGTGATGGAATTCATGTTGTTTTTTACGTTTCGCGAGTATAATTGTCTCATCAGTATGCATGTAATAGATTAATACAGCTGGCAAATTGCAAAATTTCCCAACAGACCGAACGGATAGGTTAAACGACTTTTTCGACGATGCAAATAGAAATAATTATTTTGTAGGCAAAAGGTTGGTGAACTAATAAAAATTGAAATAGTTTTTTGAATAATACCATTTGCCACACATAAACTGGTTATTCAATTAAAGAAGACTAATGAAGTGTGCGAGAAAATAAAAAAGTAACGTAATTAAACTTTCGCTCCGAAACTACATACATCAAAGTAGATAAGTTATAAGCAAAGAAAATATCTAATTTCAAGATTAGCAACGCTTATCCATTAACAGCCGTTTGCAAAACAATATTAATGGCCTTTTAAAATATTTAGAATAAAATATTGTTTCATTATTGTGCTGTTCCACTTTTTAGCCGACAATAAACTAAATGGCTGTAACAAGTTTTATAGATTTATTTATCTTTATATAAGTGCTTCAGGTAATTCATTTCATTTTTACAAATTTATACAATTATCCGTATATATAATATAAAAATTAAGAAACATAGTACCTAAAGTCCGGTCTACAATTATTGTGGCATGACATTCTTACGTCAAACCAATCATAGTGCTTGATAAGTAAGACCGTTCTGCGGCAATTTTAGACTGGGCTTAACAAAACAACGTAAAATGAAAGTTCAAATGACAAACCGGCAGACATCTTTCAGGCTAAGCGTATTGAAATGTTCTTTAGAACGGCTAATTTTTTCTGCCCGCTTTCAGCATTCATTCCCGGTCTAAGGTAATAAAGCACATTATCTTCGGCATCTCCTCGGCAGGCAGAGATTGACCTGTCTTATGAATCTGCACTGCTCCAAAAAGAAAGAAATACGCGCGCGGATTTTGCGCCTAGATACCAATCCGAGATACAAGTGCGTTTGATAGGAGTACACGCATTAACATGTCCGTATTGTTCGCCTCGGATTTATCGTACGCGGCCTGTATGGGTTCAGGTACTAAGTAGGTGTGGGGGCCACCTGGTTTCCTTTGTTTGTTAGCACAGCAAATGGAGAATAAATGCCAAACTTGAAAAAAGTTTAGAAGGCGAAAGAGTTAATAAATTTTAGAAACGTTATTTAATACTATCAGGCAATATAAAGTTATTCAAAGCCAAACTCTATTAAGTCCACTTTTTTAAAATGACATTAAACATGTTTTATTTAAATTTTTCCTCTCTTTTCAATAGTAAACAGAAATATGTTCTGATTTGCTTAGTTTTTGAAGTATCAAAAAACCAGGTAAGCTCTAGGGTAAGATATATAAATTAGTTTTATTTAAAAAAAAACACATTGCAAAATTAAAAAATGGCTAAATGTATTCATAAATATGTTAAACAACATATCTTATAATAATAATAATAATAATAATAATAATAATAACGTTTATTGTCCAACAGATATAAAATCCATTTACAGAACAATTACATACAAGAAATTAAAATAAGTCCTAATATTATTAAAAAATATATAAATACAAAAAGAGGTATAACAAGATTAGACAAAAAATTTTTTACATAAGCTTTTTTACATAAGCTATCAATTATAAAACCAATCTTATGTTAAGAGAGATGTTAAACTTTTGAGCGGTGGAAAAATGAGTAATTTTACAAATATCTTTTTCTACAACCAAGCGAAAAGTACAAATTTGCGCTTCCAAAAGAAAGAGCAAAGCTGCACTTTTCCGAGGAGCGAGCGTTTTTTTACTTTGTCGCTCGCTTAGTTACCATGTAAACCATAATAAAGAAACGTTTAGTGTATTTTGACACAAACGTCAAATTTGAGTTTATCAATAATTATTAATTTTTACCAAACATCCTTATAGGAACACCGGTTGTAGAAAAAATCCTGTGTGTAATTCGAGCGCAAAGTGACATTGCGCTCTTAATACACAAATAGCCGAGGAGCAAGCATTTCTTTCCTTTGTCGCTCGCCGGACATAACACAAATCCAATTAAAAGTCATTTTTATATATTTCAATACCCGACAACAGATGCATATTAGAATACTGGATTTTATTAAGTTTGTTAGCCGAATAATTAAAACATTACTTTCTAAAATATATATATTTTTTCAATTAACCAAATTAATAAATATCCAAGAATACTAAATAAAGAAGATAAGAGAAGATTAGAAACGCTTAAAGTAGACATTAAAGAAATACTTGTACTTCATAGAGCGCAGCCATCGAAATTGAAAGATGAGTCCTTTATTTTAAATGTTAGGGATTGCCCTTAGTTACTAGCCTTTGTTTGATCTATTATTTATCTAATATTCTATTATTTCTATTAAAATATGGTGGGTCTTTTGAGTGTGGAGCGTAGTGTTTTTTGACGTGACCTACCAAGTTACTCCTCCTGTCTCTTTAGCTGGATTTTATGATTGTCGTCTTCCCTACCTTCCTCATGAATTTGACAGTGGATTCCATATCTTTTAAAAGAAATGCATAACCAACCAGTCGCAACTGAATGTCTTTCAATGTCAATGAAATGACTTTTCGCAAAACCCAAAAATCAGACGGGAGGAAGGATGGACAGCTACCTAATTTAATGTCAATTTTAGTCTTTATAAAGACACTAAAGTAATTTATAACAAATATGGCAGGACACATTCGCACAGTACCATAAAATTAAAAATGGTAGGAAAATTCGCACAGTGAGATAAATTTAAAAAATTCTAAAAATGTTTCATTTTCCAAAATTTTCAAAAATTTGATTTATACCTTTATTCATTGTATTTAATATCTTTCTTTGAACATTTTACGCGTATCTACGATTTTGGGAAAACTACCAAATATTCCAAAGCTTTAGTTTAATGTTTAAACTTTTATTTAAAAGGCGATTAACAGGCAGGTATTTCAAAACTATACGATGTTAAAGATTTAAAAAATATTTAAAACATGTTGTTTCATACTTACCGGTTTTTCCAGGGGTACATCTGCAATAAAAACTGCCGACTCTGTCTATGCAAGTGGCTCCATTAAAACACGCAGCCCCTGCGCAATCGTTAATGTTAACGCTACAATCGGGTCCCGTCCATCCGTTTACGCATATACAGGAATATCCTCCAACGGTGTTTGTACACGTGGCGCCGTTTTGGCACACTGATGGACGCAACGAACATTCGTCCACGTCCTGCTCGCAGTTTTGCCCTTCGTACGTTGCAGGACACTGGCAGCTGTAACTTTTGATACCGTCCACACAGGTCGCGCCGTTTTGACAAAAATGCCCTGGGCAATCGTCGATGTTTTCTTCGCAGTTTACACCTCGGAAACCTGAAAAAGAAACCAAATATTACAATGTGTTCCTCACAAGGAAAACAATTTTATCTAGGTACTTCTATTGCATAATATTGGTTTTTCCGTGAATAATGATAAACATTATTAATTTCCTGCCTAACAACGGAAATAATGAACTCATTATTCACGTTTTTAGGCATCAGTGATTGGGCGATTTCAATATTCACTGGAGAAGGCAACTATAATAACATTTAAAATTGGTAAAAAGTGAGGTTAACCATTTCACAGATGTCAGATTATATTTATTTATTTTTGAAAATTATTTAATTATCTACTTATTGGAGTAGATAAATACAGTATTATATTCGAGATTATGCGCATTATTCACTCGGATTATTTAAGTCTCTCGGCGACTCGAGACGCAAACATCATTCTCGTGAATAATATCCTGTATTATCTCTCGTATTATATTGTACTATTATCAATGGGTCAGAATTTCTCAAACGGGCCACCTGAATTAGGTCAAAATTAGTTTTTGATTGTAGATACATTTTTTCGATAGTATTTTACATCACTAACACAAATCCTAAAGGATTTTGTAAAAAAAAAATTTCAATTGACATATTCATGATATTAAAAGTAAAAGTTTTTAGTAATTAAAAAATAAAAAAAAATCATTATGGCTAAACTAATTATCCGATTCCAACGATTTAACTAGCGTTGGAATCTTGTTTTGGCATAGATTCTTTGTTATTTTTTTCAATTGTACAATTTTCATTTAGGTCGATTTTTTTTTGTTTTTTTATAACAAATTCGGAAATAATTGGCTTCTGCGCCAGCTATCGACTCGAAAAAAAAAACACATATACTCCAATCATTTTTCGAAATTATGCTGCTGAGAAAAAAAATGGCCCGCAGGTTCCAGACCACCGTAAGACGTCGCGTCACAAGCGCGTACAGCGTACACGGTTCGGAGCGTGAGCTGACACCGCGCGCGGCCACAAAAGGACGAATAACTTTTTGTCAACCTGCGGGCCATTTTTTTTCTCAGCAGCATAATTTCGAGAAATGATTGGAGTATATGTGTTTTTTTTCTCGAGTCGATAGCTGGCGCAGAAGGCAATTATTTCCGAATTTGGTATAAAAAAAACAAAAAAAAATCGACCTAAATGAAAATAGGACAATTGAAAAAAATAACAAAGAATCTATGTCAAAACAAGATTCCAACGCTAGTTATATCGTTGGAATCGGATAATTAGTTCAGCCATAATGAATTTTTTTATTTTTTAATTATTAAAAACTTTGACTTTTAATATCATGAATATGTCAATTGAAAATTTTTTTTTTACAAAATCCTTTAGGATTTGTGTTAGTGATGTAAAATACTATCAAAAAAATGTATCTACAAACAAAAACTAATTTTGACCTAATTCAGGTGGCCCGTTTGAGAAATTCTGACCCCAATGTATCCTAGCATTTTTAAAATAGTTATTTATGTCATTAGGCCGAATGGCATAGGTACAAGTTGTATGATACAACATTTTATCTTTAAGGCATAATTTTATTTCCCAAACATAATACATAAAACGTATAATTATAATAATTATTAAAAGTAGAAAGTGAGGTTGGGTAGATCTGAGTTATCGTATTTGTATTGGTCCGTTTTTTACAGCCTAGGCGATAAACAAATATTAGAAATATTCCCCAACACCAAAACGAACCCCAAAGTGCTTAAAGTACTTTTCGCCAACGATGTTGGCATTTTCAGAAGCGAAGTGTAACTCCAGCCTAGGCGATAATCAATCACTTTGGTAGTGAATGTTGACAATAATAAAGTTTAAATTATAGACCGCTTGAAGATACAAAATTGTATCTCAAACCAGTATCCCTTTTACCTATTAACGCTAATGCCCTTTGCAATTATATTTCTTACATTGATATTAGTAAAACAAAATTTAAATTATTGTATTTCAAAAACAAAAATTGATTCCAATTAAGGTAAAAGTGAACAATGTGTTGCAAAATTCCTTCATTTCCAGATATAACAAACAAACAATGGGTTATCTCTATTACCTATAAGGCAATTTCTTTAAATTCATTTTGTAATGCCTGCATTAAATGTTAAATCCAATTCTTTTTATCTATAAATAACCGACTTTCAATACTCAGAAAGCATATCAAAAATAATTTCGTGTTGCTTGGATTAGAGGTGGTATGCATATTTATTTTCAGAGACAATGCAATTTATAAGAATTAATATTGAAAAATTTAAGCATTCGGAAAGATCATCTGCATAAACACAACAGAAATTTCTACACTTGATTGGACCTCGTGTTCAGCCAAATCGCGGGGAAAGTGCAATAAAATCACGAACTATAAATCCACCTTTTGTGATGTGGACAACTTCCTCAACACAGATCTTAACGCCCCGATTACAAAATCAATATTTCAATGGTTCTTTGTGGTTTTAATCCGAGATATAACAGGTTATTATTTATTTTTTAAGAACAATGAATTTGTGTTGCAAAAATTGGATTTTAATTTTAAATTGTTGATTCTAATGAAGCAAAAAAACGTTATTTAATGCAACACAACACAATAATTAGCCTGTGTGATTATTATTATAAATTATCGTAACAATGAACTTTGGCTCTGTGAATAGTTGCTTTTTAAGTCCATTTTACCACAATAAGTATTGACTCGCATTTTAATAACTGTATTATTAATTACTACTATTTTTCCCATGGAAAAAACACTAATTAATGTTTATATTACACTTTGAAATATTAATCACTATTATGAAAGAAAATTAATGAATTGCGGAATGAATCACAAGACTACGATTAAAATAATAAAGGGTTTCAATCTCTTTATTGTAATTAGCTACTTCATGTAATTTTATGGACAAGTTTTTAATTTTTGATGTCCCGAGATAATTAAAAAGCCTTTCGTTTTTCTTAATTAGACAAGATTAAAAAATATATTTTACAAAATAAATATGAATATTCAATTTAAAAGCCTCTTAATTGGAAGTAACGTCTAATTGAATTGAGCATTACTGTCGTTTAAAACAATTTAGGTAGACAATATTGACGAGAACGACCTTGCAGAATCCTAAAAAGTCATATCTCCAGATCTAAGTATTATTGTTGTGTAATCCTTACCACACTGTAAATGGCTAAATGGTTTCGATCGAAGCAATAATCAATTATAGAATCTTGATCTTAATTAGGTAGGAATTTAAATTGTTTCGAGCTCTAGCCAATACAACAATCTACCAGGACATAGTAGGTTAGGTGGTATTGTTGGTTTATTGAAATGGTAAACGTAAATCATATTTTTTTGCAGAAACGTTTTTCGTTTATGGTCATATCGTGCCTGAACCTCTGGGCTCGCGCTCTATTGCCAATCTTCCACATAATTGATTCAATCTTTGCAGTGCTGCGATACTCATACATTCATGGTACGTATTGTATGGTAATTATTGGTTTATTTCTACATCTCTAAAATTGGAGCAATTATTTACAAACGCGATTTTCAACCATGTTTCATAACCATTTCATAACGACGAACCAGATTATCAATGAAAAGATTGCAGTTAGCGGAATCCATGCAAGAAACAATGCTGTCTTAAATAGGTTAGATAAGTTATAAACTTTTCCAAGGAATTCTCACCGATTCATCGATACACTTTTTGCTAGTCTGCATGAGAAGAAACCTTTCCTCCAGATTCTATCGACTTTTTGTCGGGCCTTCAGAAAGAAAGAGCTTGTGGATGACTGGGCCCAAGAATGTAGAGCATTTTAGCAAATAAAAATGTGGGACAATTTTCGTCTGAATGACAAATTGAGATTTATATAACCGCTTTAGCGGTATACAAAGGATTTATTTACCTTGTATTAGCTTAACTTAATGAAACATGTTTGGGTTTTTACTATTAAATTGCTTCTTAAATAATAATTGTATTTAAACCTTGATTACAATAACATAGATATTAATTATAGTTATTTTAAACAATTATCATTCATAAAATAATAGACGTTGCGTTTATTAACCATAAGTTATTGTTCATCAAAATATACTATACTATACCTATACTTATAAGTATAGGTACTAATTAGATTTTAAAATACAGTTTAAAAAGTAATACAATCATTCGAAAAACTCTACCAACATTAAATTAAAAAAAAATAGGTTTGTAACCGTAATTTCTTAAATTATTTATTAACAAGTTTTCGTGTGTTCGATTTTGTTTTAATAAATTGCGTATTTACTTCAAAATAAAACGATTGCCATTTTTGTCAAAAAATGCATCTACAGCGTCAGCATTTGAGGTATATCTCTTCCAAGCCAACGATTTTTTCAGTCCTCGAAAAAGAAAAAAGTCATAGTGGGGCAAATCTGAAAAAAATGGAGGTTAATATTTATATGTAAATGTTTTGTAATAGCTGATCCAGTTGAGATGATTTCTGGGATGATGTAGCCTGATTTGACCGTCCAAACGTTTAGCATCATCTTGTGATAAATGATGAAATTTGGCAAACCTGTTTTTGATGCTGAAATACGCTGGTGCATGACGACTATAAAGTCACTATTTTGCTTAAACGCTATTTTTCCCCATTAAAAATCAATGCTAACTTGTTGACAGATTGGTTTAAAATTTTATCTTTTGGAAAGATTTATTAATATGCCCTCGTAGATACTAATTTGGTGGATGTTGAGATTTATGTTTCTTTGGTTAAAAAGTAAGTAGCGGTTCTTAATCGTTTTTCTACATAATTGAATTAATATTTATAATCATTTTATAGGAATTTTGTAATAAAACTTGCAATTGCAAGTAATGACAGTCAAAGTTTTTTAAAATATTTCTTATTGTTGAGGTTTTTTTAAATAAAATTAATCGACACCTGTTAAAAATCTCCAGCATCTTATCGTCGATTTATTATCGATGGCAGTCGATGATTTAATGTATGGTGTGGTGTGGAGGGAACAGTAGCCGTCGTAAAAGCGATATTGATAAATGTCGGCGTCTAATT